CATCCAAGGCCTTTTGCAAGTTGCCCTCAAGGTTGAAAATACCAGGTCTGATCTAGCCGATTTGTTTGCTAGACAACAATGTCTGGTGGGGAATCACTGGAGAAGGAAAGAGGAGCTAAAGTGTGGAGCAAGAGATCTTTTATTAGACAACTTAACACCACTCAGTCAGGTATTTATTCCACTTCCAGACACACCCTGGGAAGAAAGGGTTCTCCAAGACTTTTACTGATGCCTTGATCCTTGAGCTCGGTTTGAAAGACCTCCCAGCAGCTTGCAATAGACAAGTTACTATATGAAGCAACAGTAGACCCAGTGCTGTTCTCCCTGCTAGTGGAGAGCGAGCTTCACCAGGAGCTACAGGCAGCAAACAAACAACTGCAGAAGCCAAGTTCAGAACAGATCCCCAGCCTGATGTCTAAAGCAAAAGAGAACAAAACTTGACCAACATACATGTTTCAAGAAAACTGTAAACCAATTGCCTCTGTTTCCACCTCTCTCTTTTGCAAGACCATGAATTATTGCTGGTACATCCCAGGTAACGCAGAGTAAAAGAGCAATCACACAGTAATTAGCAGCAGGCAAGAGGCATTTGCCTCCAGCAGTCCCTCAAACCACTTCACCCTTCTACAGGTATTAATTTTCCAAACTATCATGAGGCAAATTTTAAGCTTCGAAAAGAAGCAGTTAAAAACACTTACAAGCAATAAGCTCTCACAACAACAAAGGCAGGCTATGTTTGATTACTGTTTTTTTAAACAGAGCATTTTTCTGATTTGAAATACCTGCAGGAGCTTTCCAAGGGGACAGGGTGTGAAGAAAAAGCGACTCTACCATTCACAGCATCCTACCTGCCTCCCTCCTTACACAGGCTTGGCTACAGCAACATGCAAGAGGGGGTCCTCCCTGGGTGTCTTGGAGGTGAACACCCAGAGAGAAGCAGGCCGAGGTGGCAGGTACAGCACAAAGCAGCAGTACCTGAAGTTCAGAGGCTCAACAGTCAACCACAAACACAACCAAAACACCCAGTCCCACAACTTGGTTCCCAGCTGTGATTTTCCTGGCTGCTGGACTCAGCCAGGGACATGAAGTCAACCATACCAGAGGACACAGCCACAGGGCGGGCATCCCCCTACCACAGTTAACACATTTTCATCTCCCAACATCAACAAGATAAAGATGTCCTTTTATACATTCCAGCTTCCAATGGTCTTACCCCACCACAGCACCAGTTTGCTGCTCCACACAACAACCTAGGCTCCCCAGCCCTAGAGAGGTCATTTGTCATTTCTGCTCCAGCTTAACAGGAAGACTAACCTCAGTTTAGCCACTTCAGAGGCATTCCTGTGAGGCCATGCCGCATCCAGGTACAAGACAAGATACTCACCACCCAAGAGACATAACTGCCAGCTCTAACAGGGCTGTGACTGCTTGCTCCTGCCTAATTTAGGGATCCAGGTGCAGGGAGGTGCTCAGGCAGGAGCTGTTAGCAGCAAGCAACTCCAATCAAGATCATCAGCACAAGCCATAAGCCACCCCTCATCCACCTCCTGCTCTAGCATGTACTTATCAGAAGGATGAGATGTTTGCAGAGCACTTTGAACACAGGCTGCCGAACGTTGCCCAAGCAGCGGCGGGCGCACACTACACTCCCAACAGAGCCTAGCCTGCTGAAAAGGGTTGAAGACATCTCACAGGGCATGAACCCCCTCAGGCATGCTCATTACCCCATCCCTTTTCCACTCCAAGCTGAAACACGTTCAGAGAGCAGCCCTCTTGTTTGGCAAGAGGGTCTCCAACACACTTTGTTTTGCAGCACAGCTGCAATTTGCAATTCAGTTCATTGCATTTAAATATGGTACAGCCCTAGCGGAAAGCAGTGTGTCACTTGTCACAGTTCTTCCAGCTATCTTTTAGAGGAAAGCAAGCTCAGGCTAACATTCAGAGAGGGAAGCGCGGGGCTTGCCAGAAAGCAAACAGAAATATTGCCATAAGTGCAGCATCCTGCTCTCACCCCCAACAAAGCCAGCAGGGACATCCCATTCCAGCCACTTCTGGTCCCAGCCCAAATTCCCAAAACGGCAGAAGAGGGCTTACTCGGGAGATGTTTCCCTGCCCATGGAACAACAGCCTGAGTGAGCAGAGGGAAAACAAACGTGTGGCGGCTGCCAGAATTGTGCTGGAGGCTGAAAGCAAAAAGCCATTCACCTGCCACCACCTGAGCCAGAGCCAACACAAGCCCCCACACCTCTCTGCTGTTCCTGCAGGGTTTAGTGGGAGTGAATAAAACTATATAAGAATCAGCTGTTCAAAGAGACCAGGCAAGAGAGATGCTTTGTGTCCCCAGTATGATCCCCAAAGCAGGCTCTCACCTTCCCGTGGACCTCTGTTAGAGCTGCAGCCATTTGCTGCTAATTGATTCAACACGCATTTGGACTAGGATTTTTAATTAATTTTATTACAGGAACAATTAATGCCCTGCTTCCCCACAGATGCATTAGGGTACAGACACAAGCAGTAAGAAATCATTCTGCAGTGTGGTTTGCCTTGTGTCTACTTGCAGGGAGCTAACCCTACACCCATGGTAGGGCATCCCCAATGCAGTCCCTCCACTATAGCCCCTCCTCTAGTGTAAGGGCTCACACCAAGTATGAATTTAGGAAGGACTGAATTTAGGAATGTAAAGGTTACAGAGCAGCAGGAAAACATCACTCCTCTGCCTCTCCAGGTCATGCCAATAGATTGCTGGGCTTGTTTTCGACAGAAGCAGGCTCTGGCCTGCACAGAGCAGCTTGACAGCCCCATTAATCACATTGCCCCCCAGCTGGTTTGATTTCAGAGGGATGTGGCGCATTTTGGTAAGAACTGTGTTAAGCAAGTGGTACCAACCACAGGAAATCAGCTTCACCATGTGGGTCAGTGCTTTCAGGCAGGACCCTGCCTGCCTCTGCCCACCTTTGCCCCACACCAGCACATGCTTTCCCTTGAGCAAAAGCTCTCACACCTCTGACACTGCTTTAGGCATCTAGAGGGACCAGCACACCCAGTCAAGTCATCCCCTGTGCCTCCTCAACATCCCTTTTTCCTAACCAAACCCCTCATCCTCGCAGCCCACCTCAGCCTGACTTCAGCAGGACGGGGGGGATGCAACAAATCACATTTTGTATTTTAGGAATCCAAGCAGTCTCACAGCCAGCTCTTCCAAGTTCATATGAGGAAGTCTCTCTTCATTCCTTCCCCTCCCTTTCCCCAGAACTGTTCCATCATTACCCTTCTCTACATACAGCAGAGTTAATAAGACATACTCTGCTTGGCTCACGACTAAAATCAAACTAGAAGTTTGAGCTGTACAGCAGCCCAAAGCAGTTGTTTGCTTTAAAACACCACAGGCATTTCAAAGCAGAGAGCATTTGGAGGTTGCTCTATCAAAACCAGAGCTGGGTCAAATTAAGCAGTTCCCAATATTTGAGATGACATCTCAGAACACAAAAAAAGTGGGGGGGGGGGGGATCATGTGTTATTTATACACATTCACATTACGGTATTTACCAACAGCAGAGTACTGGGGGCAGAAGCATCATCACTACATCTGCAATAGCCAAATTTGAGTCTCCAGGGTCCTGCACTATCATTGTATTGAACAGCATCTCCACAGCATGCTGTATTTTAGGCATCTGCAGAGCAGGAACACGTAGTGCACCACAAGGTCCAAGACCTTAATCAAGCCCTACAAGTCAATAGATTTCCAATATAATGAAGACAAAGAGGTGTCAGCTCTAGTTCTTATTTGCTAATACTATCAATAGGGGCTCAGCTCACTGGCAGTTAATTCAAAGCCAAGCCCGATTTGCACAGCAGTGATCTACACTAATTCTCATATGTAGCTAAGGGGAGATTTTGCCAACTAGACAAAAGAAACAGTATTAGAGCTCCTGAAACAATGCCATCACTTTTCTTTGCTCCATCACTTCCCCACCAATTTTCCGTGTGCTGGAATCTCCAGGTGTCGTTTCCCGCATAGCTGAAGACATGCAGAAAGGATAGCAAATACAAAGGTACCTATTTCTCTTTTCCAGACACTAATTTGAGGCTTTTAAAATGTAACTTCCCATAAAATGGGGGCTAATTTCACACTTGGGTTTTTTTGTGCATTAAAGACAGTAAGTGCCATAATTAAGCAATTATAGCAGTATTTCTAAATGATCCAACTGCAACTTAACCTTAAAAGAGATGCTACATGTTGCTATGTTTCATAAAGTTTATTAGCTCACTTCATCCAATACTAAGTTTTGCTTGGTCTTGCTTTCAGGTTCTAGTCCATCTCAACTCTTTTGCCAAAATACTACAGTTGTTGAGAAGTCACAGGAAGCCAGATGTGCTACCCAATTAGGCAACAGAGCTGTTTCAACCACATTAGAAGTAGTCACTGCCTGTGAACCTGGCCCTCATTAATCTGCAGTTAGGCTCAAATGAAGCAGTGGCAGCAGCCCATACTCACAGTTTACACTAATGAGTTACCCTGTCTTCCTAAGTCAGCTGCACATGGCAGTCCACAACTCTGACTTGCTATTAATGCAAGCATCCTCACATCCCATCTCCTTCTTGCTGCCAAGCAAACACCAACTGCTAACTACAGCCAGCACGAGGGTAGTGAGTGGGTGCCGTAGTTTTCCCAGTTCGTGCAGTTTCCATGCTAAGGGAAAATGAGGTTAGTCACCACCTGAAGACCAGGTACCACCCTTCCCTTCCAATGGCTGCAAAACATCCCCAGCTTGGATTTGAAAGATGGCAATGATACAACCAGCTGGCCACCTGAGAGGAGAGACCTGCATCACTCCCCCAACCCACCTCATAGGACCCAGTTCCTATTAAAACTTGCATGGTTAGAGAAAGGACACAGACCAAGTACCTGTGCCATGCTCCTGCTTCAGCAGGGAATTAGACTAGGCACCTGGCTCCTGCCAAGAATCAAGATGCTAGAAAAAAACACAAGTCTGAAACAGTTTAACACAGGACAAAAAAGGCACATTTTAATATGTACAGCAATGCATTTGGGCTATAAATTTACCCAACACAACTGGAAAAAAAAATCCAAACTATGCTTTTATACTTATTTCATGGTGTCAGCCTCATTCCTAGCCACCTACCTTTCTCTGCATCTCTGAATGCTGCTATATACACACACAAACAAACAATTAAGTCATGAATGTTCATTTAGGCTCCCAAGTTCAAGTAATAAAGTTCAAACTTGCATAGCATCTTATGCCACTCAGCCATAAACAGTTACGATTGCATATTAGCTGGAGCAGCCATCTCTTTCAATTCAGCCAGTTTTGGCTGGCCACCATTTATTTTATTTTATTTAAATCCTTGAGTCAGAATGTTTCCTAAGTCACCAGCCCTGAGGGATGCCACAGACTTCAAAATGAACCTCTTGCTGTCATCAAGATCCTTTAAAACCAGAAATTTAGAGTGTTGTCAAGAACAGTTTTAAAAATGTAATACTGTTTATTTTGCTTCAAAAACATTTCAGCATTCTAAACATACAAAAAAAACAGAACGTTGCAAATTCGTTTAAGTACAGAGTGTTTTTGAACTTCAGTTGCTGCACTGGCTCTTCACTTAGTTGACGATGAAGAGATGTCTACAGTTTCAGTTTAAAAACTACCGCACTTAACTAAAAAAATCCATACACTTCTCATGCCAGCTGAACCCCCTTTCCACAACTAAGAATGGCAGCAGAATGCTATTTCACTATATACAGAAAGACAACTTTAAGCTAAATGGACGCCCACTGTAGTGTAAATAGATCTACCCTCACAGTGCATGCTTTGGGCCATGGCACCCTGGGGAACGTACAACCTTTCCAAGTAATCACTGCTCCTCTAAGGCATCATAACTCTAAGCATGTACCACAAGAATCTGTCTAGTTTTTACAAACTATAGATATGTACAGTTTATAACCCAGGATTTTCTAGCCAATAACCATATAGTAACACCACCTTACAAATTAAAAAATGCTTGAAACATTTTTAAATGCTTTGTTACACCAACAGCAAAGTGCACAGAGTTAGGAGAACACTAGAGCGCCTTTTCATTTTAAAAATGTTTGGAAATATGTACAACTTTGATACAGTTTCAGGGTGCTCGCTACACCCATGGCCACTTCATGTAAACCAGTTACAATTTTCTAGAGCACTTTTAGAAACTACAACGCGATCGGAATCCAAATTTTTTTGTTTTTTTTTTTTAATTAAGCCTAATGAGGGCAAGAGACACCATCTCAAATAAGAGGTGCTTCATTTACGGTGTTTCCCCTACTCTATGGTATTCACATGGAGACAAGTATTGTACAGTTTTATTCATCATCATCATCTTCATCCTCCTCTTCTTCATCCTCCTCCTCCTCTTCGTCTTCTTCCTCTACCTTTTTCCGAGCAGCTTTGGTTGCTGCTCCCTTTGCGCCATCAAACTTTCCTTTAGACTTGTAGTCTGCAACATCCTGCAAAGTCAAGGGGACGTCTTAATTTGCTCTAAGCAGCAAACACATACAGCATTTGTACAGCAGCGGGCGTTAACGTAAAGGGACTGGCCTTCCACAGCTGCACCTCCAAAAGGGGCAACACCCAGCGTTATGGTACACAGGTATGCAGACACCTAAGCATCCTCAGCTGCCTCCAGATGATGGATACCTTGAACCCTGCGTTCATGGTTATTGCCTTGAGGAGGAGAAGAGAGCCCAGCCTCTCTTAAAAGTTTCCTGCTAATGGGACAAAACTCATTTAACAGCACAACACACCCTGTGCTGAAGCAACGCAGCAGCCACTGCTGGGCATCACTGGGGGAAAGCTCTCCATCCATGCTGGAATTCACCCTTGGCTCTCTAACCTACTCCATCCCAACGTACACAGTGCTCAGCTGCACAGCACACAGCATGATGAAAACAGGTCTGTAAGCTGGAGATCCTCACTATGCTGGGGCTACCTTAGCTGGGTATACATTACAGAAACACATCAACACAAGAGCCAGCATGGAAGAGGCACAAGTGAAAACTAGCCTTACCTTCTCGTACTTCTCCTTCAGTTTAGCTGCCTTATTGTTATAAGGCTGCTTTTCCCCATCACTGAGGTTGTTCCACATTTCACCCAGTTTCTTTGCTACATCTCCAATGGATATGCCGGGGTTTGTGGACTTGATCTTGGGGCGGAATTCTGAACAGAAGAGGAAGAAGCCAGACCTTGGAAAGAAGCACCAAGAGGACAGTCAGCACCACAGCAACCTGCCTGGAGAACATCCCTTCCTTTGTCCCTCACCCACAACATTCACACAGGAAGAATTTCTTATTTTGACTTAAGGAGACCAAAACCCAAAACATAAATCCAAATCTGTTTTTATTTTACTGAGGCCCAGACCTTCAGCCTTCACCCAATGCTTCTTTCAATCAGATGTTATCTATCCTCCCCACCCAATTTCATCTTAGATACACAAGTCTCACTGTGGTCCACTCATTTCCATGTCTTCCGTTACTATGAATTTAAGGGTACCAAGTACTGACAAGTCCTGTCAGTGCTCTACATGCTCAAGATTACAAACTGCCTAGAAGATCTGCAAGACAGCATCAGTAAACTGTGAAGACTACCAATACTGCTATACCAACAGCATACCCCATCTACTTCCTTTATGGAAACGTATCAGATCTGTTACATGGTGTGGAAACAAACCAAAACACCTGTGCATTTAACACAAAGTCACTTACGGTGGTCGTTTCGGGGCATTGGGGTCCTTCTTCTTCTTGCCACCCTTAGCTGGTCCATAATCCTTCATTTCTCTATCGTATCGTACCTTATCAGCCTTTGCCATTTCATCAAATTTAGCCTTCTCCTTGCTTGACATGGTCTAAAAAACAACAAAACAAGACACCGAACTTGTGATTACCCAACAGCTGGCAAACTTTAAGTAAACAAGCCAACACATACTGACTCAATAGGGGAGTTTCAGAGTTTGTTTGTTTTCTAACTGTACCACCTTGGGGACGAAGGTCCTGTACCAGGGACCGCAGCCACCACTGGCACGCTCGTAAGAGGGAAGCAACAGGAATGGGACAAGCACAGCCAGAGTCCTCTGTAAGGACACAGGCCTGGATGGAGGTAGCAACTGGAAACAGGAAAAGAGGCCAGGCTGTATAACCGAAGCACCTCAACAGGCAGATAAACTAGGCTGAAACTTTCACGATCATAACAACAGTCAGCAGCACCCAATCAATGGCTGGGACACACTGCCAAGAACGGTATACAGACCAAAACAGCACCAGCTCCCTTCACGTTCAGACACATGCACATCATTCTAGCAGATACAGCAAGTTACCCCTTCAGGAAGTCACAAATTAAAGTACCTTCCACCTCTCTGAGCACTTCTTGGAAAACTCTGCAAAGTTGACTGGAACCTCTGGGTTCTTTTTCTTATGTTCCTCACGGCACGTCTGCACAAAGAAGGCATAGGCAGACATCTTGCCCTTGGGCTTCTTCGGATCACCTTTAGCCATCTTGACTCTGTACGGAAGAGAGGGGAAAGGGAAAGAAATAAGTGAGTGCATGCATGGACAAATGTGTATATACGTACAGTGTGCATATTTTTATACATATGCACATACCACCATCCCCTGAAGTGACACCCCATCAGCAACACATCCCTTTTTTCCCCCAAAACACTTCCTACTATCCCCAACAGAAAGACTCAAGTTATTCTTCCCTTGACACTTGGGTTGCAGACTTGAGCCAAGCAAAACTGGTCACTGATTTCAGTTTTACATTGATATGCTTTTACATCATGCCCTAAGACTGGAGACAGGCTATTAAATACACATACTTCTGCCCATTAAGATTTATAGATGAACTAATACAAAATATTTTAGTTGGCTACCACACTGGGGCTCAAGTGGTGTGCACAGCACCAGGCTGTGACTTATCCCTTTAGCAACTGGAGTTCACATGTTCACAGCTGCCGGCCAGGTAGAAAAGCAGTACAGGCTATCCCCCCCATGAAACTGCAATAACGTTCTATATATAAGGTGGTGTGGAAATAAAAGCTAGTTTTAAACACAACAGGGGCCCGTGAAGCTCAGTGAGGTGAGCAGCGCTCGCTCTTGCTCCACCAAGTGACACATGTTCAGAGGCATAGTGGTCAGTGCAAAGATGCGATTAGCAAGTCACCAAGAGGATGATGCTAACTTTTGGGCTGTATTTCTTTCCCTTTCCCCAGTATTATTCTTTTTTTCTCTAAAAAAAAAAAAAAAAAATATTCAAAAGTCACAATAAGAAAATTAAAAAAAAACATCCCGCAGTAATATTTCCTATTTACTGCCTCCGAGGCGTTTGAAAATTTAATTTTTATTAGCACAACGTTAATATTTAATTGCGCCCGGTCACTCTCTGTGTGCGGCTGTAGTGGCTTTAAGCCGCTCGCTCCCACCCCGGCCGCCCCCCGACCCGTCGGGGGCCCCCGCTGCCGCCCTACACCTCTCCGCGGGCGGACAGAAAACCCGCGTACGCTGGGACCAGGCGGCGAGACCGGAGCGCGGCCGGGACCGGGGCCGAAGTTGGGGGCGAGCGGCCCGCCGCGGCCGGCCCGGCCTCCGCTCCTCTCCTCTCCCGCCATCTTCTCCCCCCCACTCCCCCAAGGTCACCGCGGCCGCTGGGCTCCGCGGCGCGGGGAGCGGGCACCTGCGGCGGGGCCGGGGCCGGCGGGCGGAGGGGGCAGCTGCGGCTCCGCCAGACGCCAATAATTCATCTTCCATTTTGTGAAATGCCTCCTGATGAAAGAAAGTGCCCCTGAAATGCGGCGGGGCGGCGGGCGGGGGGCGCCGGGGGGCCCGGCGGCGGGCGGGGGCGCGGAGCGCCGGCCCGGCCCCGGGCGGCCGGTGCGAGCGGTAGCGAGAGCGGCGGCCGCGCTCCGCGCCCAGGGCCGGCCCCGCTCGCTAAGATGGCTTCTCCCGGCGCCGCCGCCGCGCCGCCGAACAAAGCCGCGCTCCCCCTCCGCCGCGCTCGGCCCCCCGCGCCCGCCGCCCCCGGCCGCCAGCCCCGCCAAAACGCCGCCCCCGCCGCGAAGGGGCTCCGCGCTCGGCCCCCCATCGGGCGGCGGGGGGCGGCGGGGCCGGGGCGCGGACGGGAGGCGCCCCCCCCCCCCCCCGGCCCCTGCCTAGCGCAGCGCTCTCTAACAAAGGCTCCCGTGCAGCCATTATCGCCGCCGCTACGCTCCTCCGCGTCGCCAGAAAAAGAGTGCGGAGAGCCCCGGGGCGGCCCCCCGGAGCCCGGCCGAGGGCAAGGGGAGGTGGGGAGAGAGAAGCCGGGGCGAAAGCGAAAGGTTTGGACCCTCGGCGGGGTGCCGGGAAGGAGATTTTCCCCGCCGCGACCTCCCTCCCCATCCCTATGCCGCTTACACGTCTTTCTTCCCTTCGCCTGGGCTCTCCAGCGCCAGCCATATTAATGCCCACAGTACTGGCGGCGCGGCGCGGGGAAGAAGCGATGCGGGGCTCCGCCGCGGGCGCAGCCCCGCCGAAGACACCTTCCCGAGCAGGGGAAGAGCGGCAGAGGCAGAGGCGAAGGGATCGGGGGAGTTTGGAGGCGGCGGCGGCGAGAAAAAAACTGCTTCGCCGGGACCGACGGGCGCAGCGCGCAGGGTTTATCCCTGTCAGATGCTAAAGCGACAGCCATATTAATGCAGAATAAACAGCGGGCACAGCACTGCGCACGGCCAACAACTTTCCCACCGCCGCCAGCCCCACCGAGCCCACCCGGGGAACAGGGGCAAATAAAAACCGAGGGCGCCGCGCGTTTTGCCGTGCGACATTAGGAGGCGGCAGAGAAAAATCCCTGCCCATGCGGGGGAGAAGAGGAGTTAGTCCCGGTGTAGTTGCTGCACCAGCCATATTACTCTCGGCGGCACGGGAGCCCGGCGCAGAGAAATGGGGCTACACCGGGGACAGGTAGCCCCTCCGCACCGGGGTGGGGGGCTCCCGGCGGAGCAGGGGAGGAGAACGAGGGGTAAACACTGCGCCTCGCCCGCTGCCCACCGCCCCGCCAGCTGCGCGCAGCATCTGCCCCGGCACCGGCGATCTCTGAGCGAGAGGGGAAGAAAGTTTTGGGTGATTTCCTCCCCCCTTTTTTTTAATTAAAAAAAAAAAAGATTTTTTTTTTTAAAGGAAGAAAAGAACGGAAAACAAAAAAAAATACACCGATATCAGCCACAGAATGAAGCGGGGTCGGGCAGGACGAGGGGCGCAGGGCGGGGCGGGCAGCGGCAGCCGCCCCCCGGAAAGTTGCGGCGGGGCTCACGTACCTGTATTGTTCGCGGCAGTGTGGACAGGAGCTGAGCGCAGGGCACGGCGCGGGGCTCGGCGCGGCTCAGCCTCGCGTTGGCTGCCTACGAGAGCGGCCTGATTGGCTGCGGGGCTCTGCCGTTTAAAACAACCTCCTCGCCCGCTCATAGGCTCGGCGCCTCATGAATATTAAGCAGGACCGCGCGGTGGTTGGACGGCATGGGTGATGTCATTCATTCAAAACTGTAGCGCCCGCCGGGGGAAAGGGGAGGTTTGGGGGCGCGAGCCTTTTGGGGCGGGGAGGTTAATGCCGTCCCGCGCAACTTTGCGCGTGGCCCTGCGCCTTGGGTGGCGGGAACGCTGCGGTCCCTGCCCGCGAAACCGCCATGTGGTTGCGGCCGCCCCGGGGGCAGCCGGATGCCCCATTCACCACCGAGCGCTCCGGCGTTGCGCGCAGGGTCGCTGCGGGGTGTGTGGTGCTCAGTGTCCCCTCCCTCCCTGATGGACAGCGCTGGGTCCGGCAGCCCCGCACGCTACCCGCGTTGATGCTGTGTTGCAGAGAAGACCCACCGGCAGCCGCGCAAAAGGGACGAAGGGCAGCGAAGGCAGCATCTCGGGGGAGGGTGGATTCCCCGGCCTATGGTAATTGCCTCATTGCTGATTTCAGCAAGGGTCCCGTTCCGCTTTCACCGGTGCTGCTCGCAAAGCCGGTTACTACTGCGCGTAAAGGGGGGGAACCGAGCCCAAAATAAACTCCGCTGACAGTTCTGCCGATAGATGGAAAAGGAACTACACAGCAAGAAACGGCGTGTTTGTTGGGGGGGGGGGGGACGGACGGACGGACGGACGGGGACACCAGAGAGTTTCGCCCACTCAATCAAATAAAACACCAAAACAATTAACTTGAATTGCTGTTTCTAAACTACTTCCACAATTTGTTTGGTATTAACTTTCTAGGATTTGGTTGTTATTACAGCGGCTGGTTGTAGCCAAGTAAATCTGTCAACATGCCCTTGTGACTGAAACCTCCTCAGCATGGCTCAGGGGCCAAGGGGACAGAGGCTCCTTTGGCTCTCTTAAAAGAGCTGTTTCCTATAGGGCAGTTGCCAAATGGTTAAACTGGTATTAGTGGCTGACCACAATTGTCGGCTGGCTTGGAAAACTGGAGCTGTTATTTTAAGGCTCGAGCGGTAAGACTCAGAAACCACTGTGTACTGTTATGGGCTGGGCGTAACTGCCACCCTTTTATGATAGCCAGAAGAAACAGTTGCCCTCTTTAAGACATAGATAGTGAAGAGCAGCCTCCACCCTGGTCCGAGAAGCTGGCAGGCAAGCAGGGTTTACCAGATACTGCCCTGTGGAAGCGCTTATGGCTATAACAACATATGGTCACAGGCTGCCTTTGCCGGAAGAGATCAAAACAAAACGACTGATGAGACATAGAGGAGTTCCAGTCTCCTGCTGACAGAGACACTGGGGAGCGTGCAGAATTTCACCCAGGATTTTAGCCAAAGTCCCGCCTAGATTTCTCCCTTAGGGTACACCTCAGCTGGTATAGCAATCACCCAAATCCAGTTGTCATCCATATGCAGAACCGCTGAGGCTTAGAGAGATCTTACACCCATATCCTTGGGCTTTCCGAAGCAGATATGGTAAAACCAGCCTTACTAGCCTCTTGCCCTATTTCTACCTTCTAAAGCCAAAAGCATAAAACAAGGGGGTTCATTCATAAACATTAATGAGGTTACCCGAGGGACTGTATTCTGTAGCATCATCATAAAATAAGATAAGCAATACTACTGCAGGATAATCTCTTTGTAGCTGATAAACATCCCTCTCACCTATTTTTAGAGATACTTTAAAGTGTTTCAAAATAGTTGAATAATTAAGGCTTTTTCTCTTGGCTCTGGAGTTGCACATTTTTTGCGCTGAAACACTTTTTTCCTCAAATCACAATCTCACCCCACAGAGCACTGCTCACCTCTGTAATGCTGGGAGCATTACAGAGGTGAGCAGTGGCAGCCCTGATGGACAGGCTTGCTTAGGACAGGCACCTGGCATTAAATGCATGCGGCCCTGCTAGTCATCTCCACAGCATCCCTCCCACTTCTCATAGGCCAAGGCAAACATTCACTAAGACACTTGTTCTAGGCAAGCCAGGGAAGTTTTTACAGCTGGTCAAGGGGCAAAGGAGATATTTTGGTAGCTGAGAGACAGCTGGGTGGAAGGTTTTGTCCTAGTACTCACAGCATGGTTTTGAAAGCAGTGGAGGGCTGAGTAGCAAATGGGTGACCATAACCCCTATGGAGAAAGCTTCTGCTCACCCCCAGAGCTACCACTGCAGAAGGAAATTCTCCGGCAGTGCCCTCTGCCCTGCACATTGCACTGGGCTCTGAAGCTGAGTGCTTTCCCGCAGTGCACCAGGGCAACAGCCTAGAAAGTTGTCTGAGCAAATCTAACCTTTTGCTGTCACCTCTTTCAGGCCATGCACCCCACTTCTTCTTAACTCCAGCCTTCACCTGCCCCCAAGGCAGCTCACTAACCTAGCAAAAGATAAATGAAGTCCCAAATTCAACCTCCTTTTTCACTGGGTTAAGTTTCTGCTGGACCAGAGGACTGAACCTGCATACCTAGGGGTCAGGTAAGTACCAGAACAGAGGCAAAAGAGGATGCAGAAGGGTTCAGCCAGGACAAGGGAAACACTTCTTAGAAGTATGGGTTTGGCAAATTTTAGGTAGTTTTTCTTTGTTTGTTTTCATATTACAGACTACTATACATTTATTCTATAGGAAGCATGAGAAGAAAAAACATCAGAACAAACTTCAGGCTTCCTGGCTGTTGGCACAGAAAGCAGTGTTTGCTATGAAGCTAGGACTATGCATCTCAATGCATAGTCTTGTACCTTCCCTTCAGAAAGTTCTACCCTGATCCCCACCATACTTGCTACAGGCAGATTTATTTTACAAACACATGTTATGTGTTTATGCAACTGTCAGCTATACCCTGCATCCCACAGCAGGGACCCAGGCCAGGCAATATCTTGACTATAAGGACCAAGGCATAAAATTTGGTTCAAGGTCCTGTATCAAGCAGACAGCTTGCTGAGGAGATTGTCCACAGAGTCCTGTCCCAGCTGGAATCACCAAACACTGAAAGCTTCTGGCCCGTGTATATCATGTTGGTGCTGTCCAGGAAGCAGCAGAGATGCAAACAGCTGAGGCCTCGTCAGTACCGGCCAAGATGGAATGACATCTCTTCAGCTAGAGATGATAGAACAGGGAGGATGCTGCGAAAATATCTGGAGTAACCAAGGAGTCTTCCAACAAATCAACAGATTGCATAACTACACTTCAAATTCAGGAAAGTCATCCACATTACAAATGAAATGCCTTCTTCTGCTCCCTAGAGTTGCTGAAGGTCCAGAATAAGCTCACCTATTTTTGAGCCAACAGCCAGATCTCATCTGAACACCAGCAATAGGTTGGTGGGGTCAGCCTTCTCACAGCTCAGTCCTGCTCCAGTTGTGTCAGATGGCTAGCAAATCTAGGCCCTCCATGTGTCTAAGCTGTTCAGAAATCAGTGCTGAAAAGAACCAGAGTGATTTGGTGATTTTGGGTGTAGAAAGGAAACAGCATCCTCGCCACCACGGATCAGCTTCACAGCTCATCCAGCCACCCTCACCTCCACTGTATCGTTCCCATCAGTGAGACCATGAATGCCTTGGAGTGATCCTGGAGGACAACTGTGTATGAAAGATTGGTCCTCAAGACCTTTAACAAGCTTCTCAGTCTGAATCCAGATTGTCTTGAGTTAGAAAGCTATCCTGACATTAACTTGATCTCTTGTTAGTGTCACTAGGCATTTGCTCAGCACCTGATATGATTTCAGCCACACAGTGGATTTGAATTGATATCACATCCTTACTGGATTTGTCCAACACTGGTCAGAGCACATTGTTCTTGTTGTGTTGGCTATCTTGATCATGAGTAGCATCACCTATTAATAGCTAGGAATATGCTGGTCTGAATTCACAAATGGAAATTTCAAAGCATCTCAGTGAATTAGGAACACACCAGTCAGAAAAATGACTAGGGCCCCTGATGGCATGATAGCCTTAAAATGAGCTACTGTGTCTGAAAAGCTTCCCAAACATACACAGTCATTTCCAGAAGGAATAAAACAGTTACCTGGTTTCCATTCTTGAGGGTCAGGTCAAATACACAGTGCATTGCCAAAGCACATTCCTTACTGATTAACTTCTTGGGCTGAGATTCAGCAGCATCACTGGGAATAGCCAAAAAGTTCCTCTGGTCTGCAGCACACATGCTTGGAGATGTGCTGTTTCACCCCATCAGCCTCTGCTTTCCAGTGCTGATACTCAAGTTTCCACATTTCTTTCTGACAGCTGATGTAGGTACTGTAAAGCCATGAAAGTCTGCGGGGGCAAATAACTGCAGTGAGGTATTGGGTACCTTTTGTCCTTTACCCAGCTTTGGAAGACGCTGAGCCCATGACTGTGTGCTTAAATTAGGAGCACCCTGAGCACTGTATGGGGGAGCCTATTGAAGGCAAAGGGTACAGTATGCATCAAGAAATATCACTGGAAAACCTGGAGCCATCTGCCTCCTGTCCTTACTGAGCTAAGAAGTAATTTTCTGAGGCCATCTAAGCCACAGGATGCTGTGGCTCACAGAAAAATAGAAGAATCCCAAGAAGAAATACACTTGCTGTTCACAGGGTGAGGAAGTTCAGGAAAACTCAGTTCTAATATCTCAGTTCCCATTAAACACCTTTTCAAGCAACCTGGACACCCAGCACCAGTACGCTGAAGGTGTGCTCAAGGCCCTGGTAGAAACACCAGAGAGGAAGTAGAGTGGACACAGCAATCCCAGGACATCATCATGTATTCCTCACAGTGGTTTATCTAGGCATCCTGTCCTTAGCAAAGCAAGTTATCCCACTGTGGTCAGAAAGCTGCAGTTTAAGCAGTATAATTACAGCTGCATTTGGAGCTTCCACTCCAGTCTGGATCACATCTCTTCACAACCTTTACCCACTGGCAAAACTCTCTAGTGAAGACTTGACCCGAATGAAAAGGCTGATATAAATACATCCGTAGGGTTCTGCCAGCAATTAGGAATAAGGGCGGGGGGAAATCCCTCCGAGGAATCTAACAAA